CGTGGGTGGGGGAGGGCGCCGTCGAGTTGATCTGGGGCCGAACTTGTTTGCATGGTGGAGCTGCGGCGCGGGGCCGAGCGTGAGGCTGTGTTGGCCGGGGTCTGGACGAAAAGTGAAGTTTCTGTACCTTCTCTCATTATTTGCGGGTAGAAGCTTTGGGGTCCTCAGGGATCTTCTTTAGCCTCCAAAACTCTTAGCCTGCACCAAGTGAAAATTTGGATTTGTGTCCTCTTTGCGGGGTCTCGCTCTCCTTTTTAGAGATCGGTCTGCTTTCCTTGGCAGCTGGGCAGGAGCCCGGAGGAGCCGGGTTGACGTCGCCCTCAAGTTCCCCGGGTTCACTGGGCGGCTGTGAGCTGGTTCCTAACAAACCCGGTATTCTTAACGCCCCTCCCCACTCCCAGCCCTCACTTCGGGGCCTCAGCTTTTCTGCCTTGGAGCTCTGGATTTTAAACTCCCAGATTTCTAGGGCTGCCCAAGGTTTTCTTCAAGTTGAGGAACTTGGCTTTTTCCCCCCATTGTTGCGGGCTTTTCTCATTTAAAGTGAGCGCTGAGACACTTTAAACCTGTTAATGGGCGCACATTGTGTGCTGCGCGCTGGCATTTAGAGCGGTGATTAAGCAAATTGACCCGGCCCCAGACAACGTGCAAATGAGGGCGGATTCCTTCGCCCCCTCTCTAGCTCTAAGCTCTCGCCCCCCCGCGTAGCGAGGGGTAGTGCCCCGGGCTGGCCGGGCCTTTGTGTGTCCGGAGTCGGGCTCCCTGCCCAGCCGCAGGGTCCGATGGTAGGGCTTGGTCGAGCGCCTATTGGGTGCTAGGTTTGGTGCTACCGCCTGCGCCTCCTCTGCTTTCTAATCAGCTTCCCGATGGCCGCCAGTACGTTCTCGACTGGGGGAAAGGAAGTGTTGGGTCCTTAGGAGTGGAGCCCGGGGCAAGCTCACTTTATTCTAAAGCTACCCCTGTATAATGACGGTGATCTAGGGCCGCTGGAGAAAAGCTAGGTGGTGAATGGGCTGTCCCTGCTATCATCGTGTGGCCGTCGGTGGAGGGCCCTGTCCTCCACAGCCAATTTTGAGGGGCGCTGCCGTCTCTGGGTGGGGTGTGGATTGGAGGGGCGAAGGGAGACCCCTCATCTTTGGCCTTGTTGGATTGAAGTATCTCAGAAGTCCTGAATGTGTGTCAGTTCGTGGTGCAAGCTGGATTTTGGCCGTTGCTTTTTCTCATTCATTTTTCAAGGAAAAGTTGTGTGTAAAAGTTGGGCGACTCTCCCTCCATGGACACTTTGGCCCACGCCCACAGATGGGTACGAGATGGGAGGTTTCTGTACCTGCCTGGGTTGAGGAGAGGGAGGGAGTTAGTTCACTGAAGTCCGCTTGGTTCCCTTTTATTGTGAGGCTGTCTGGGGAGGGGCCCAGACTGCTCACAACTGTATGTCGCCCTGAGCTAGGTCCTGGCCGTTAAATCCTTCAGAAATGCCCCTGACAGAGATGTTTCTCCCTCAAGCAGGGACCACCTCCAGTACCCATTATTCTTTAGGGCTATTTTGATTCTCCCAGCCTCCTGGCTTCGTGTCTTGGACCAGGATGCTAACATCCATCTCTCAGTGGCTGCCCTGCCACCAAGAGCCCAGGTGAGACCTATTTTCTGTTTGTATCTTCCCTTTCTCCTTCCTTTCATCTTAGTGTTGTTTTGCATAATAACTTCCAAAGGTTGCTCCTAGAGTTCCTGGTGACTAAATCCAGGCCTGATTTTAGAGCTCACTCCCTCTCTACCACGCTCACCTTTACAGCCATTGCTTATGCTAGCCCAGGTCACCAGGCCCCTCTTCACACCCTTGAGACCCCTGCTTTCTTGGGGACTTAGCATGCCCCCATATCTCTCTTATCTCTTCAGTGAGTTGCCTTACAGAGTAAGTTTAATTCCCTCAGTGCTTTTTTTTCTTAGCCGTCTTCCTGCCTCAGCCTCCCAAGTGCTGGGATCATAGGTATGCACCAGCACACCCGCCACCACCGCCAGCTTCCCCCTGTGTTTCTGTGCCTCTCATGTGCTGATTGCTGTGTTATTCCTGCCTGGTTAGTTACACAGTTTTTCCTTGTACTGGGCAAGTTTTCTTCTAACATGGCTCATCCTTGGGCCAGCAAGGAAAGAAGCAAGAACCTGCTTAAGCATTAGATTGTACTACAAAGGGCTGACATGGTGATTTCCCTTTGGGTGATTCGATCAAGGTAATTAATGTGATTTTTACTGGAGAGCAGACAGTGGCCTTCTGTTGGTTTCCCAGCCTGGTAAAAGGATAGCTGTAGAAAGAGGAAAGGGGAGGGAAGTAGCTGAGGCCTCGGGACAAGAGGTCCCTGCTACAGAGGATCTGCTCTCTGTATGTGGTGTCTTAGGTCCTTTGTTTTACCTCCAGACTGTGCAACTGCAGCTATCCGCTCTGCTGCCTTATGGCCTCTAAGTGGTACAAAATTGGATAATCTCAGTTCTCTGCTGCTCTAACATCTTTGGAAAATACCATGCAAAAGCAGAGATTACAGTGTTTTCCAAGTGTCCCTGGACCTTTGTAACAGCAGGACACAGCAGACCTCAGCACCTTTACTCACTTTTACCCACTGATGTGTTGCTGTGGCTGCTCTAGCAGCCGGGGCACTTCCCTCCAGGCAGTCACCTTGCCCTCTACTCTGGCTTGGCAGGGCTGCTGGGAAGTGGCCTCTTCCTGAGGCTCTTTAGAGGAGAGGGCTCCTTAGCCTGGGGTGACTTCCAAGCCTCTGAGCCCAGAGCCCTGTGGACTTTGAAGAGAGGAATAGTTGCCACTAACCATTTCTTAGTCTGCAGTATTCACACCCACAGCGCAGGGTAATTCATGAAAACACTTCGCAGATTTACAAAACCACCTCCTTGCTCTTCACTGGAATTTTGTATAAATAGATACCAAAAATAGTTGAGAAGAAGAGCCAGAAGAAAGATGTGTGTGTTGAGCAGGCTAGCTATAGAGTGATGCCATAGTTGGTGGCCACAGTGTGAGTGCTGATGACATTTGGGAACAGAAAGCATCTAGGTAGAGTTGCTAAGGGTGTCTCTGGCTTTTGTGTCCATTGCCTAAGTTTAGGAGTTATTGGCAGGCTACTCAAGACCACCTCAGCTCAGATCTCTATGTGACTGCTCTGCTCTTTTAAATATGTGCTCTTTTTTGAGTCCCTTGTATCCTGCTATTTCTCCTGCATTATTTTGCTGTGCTTGGGGCATTCCTGTTCTTCTAGATAAGCAGAAATCCTTGTATTCATTCTCAGAGGTTGTTGTATATAGTAACTAAGGAAGATCTTTTAGAGAATCAGTATAAGCATGCTGCTTTTGGTAAAATTCTTTTAAGCCATTTCATCTAAATATAACTTCTGTTTCATTTTTTCCTAAATATAACTGAGTTTAATGAGGACTTTTCACATGGAGTGAGCTTTCAAGAGGGCCCTGTCTGTGTTGCTAAAATTTTGGCACTTGAGTTGCTAGGGTGACATTTGGTTTCAATTTTTGTGGAGGGGCTTGAGCTCTGTCAGTCCTTTTCCTTTAGAGCCAGGCTTGGTGACACATACTTGTAATCTCAGCGCTTAGGAGGCTGAGGTAGGAGAATCAGTTGCTGGGAGTTTGAGGCCAGCCTGGACTACATAGTAAGTTCAAGACCAACCAGAACTGCATAGCAAGACCCTGTCTCAAAAAACAACAAAAACATCCTTTTCCTTTGGGAGAGTGGATCTGGTAGGAATTATCTGACTTGACTCGTTATAATTTTGGAAAGTTATAGTTTGGTCGCATTCATCATTGATCTTATTTTAGGGCTTCTTGAGAGAAAGTAGGCTGGCACACACACACACACACACACACACACACACACACACACCCACACTCCTAACCTTTAACAAAGAGTGTTTCAACCTTTACAGTGACAAGCAGTGTTACCAAATGAATTGTAGAAGAAAAAAGAATTTGAGTGATTAACCCACTGAAAAAATCTTTTGTAATGGAAAAGCCCTACTTATATTCCAGTGAGAAGACAACATTTATTTGCTAACCTGGGAAAATTTAGATTTGCATACTAAAGATTTGGTGACTTATGTTTGTTGATTGCCTGTCATAGGCAGTGGCTAAGGAATTAGGGGAGATAAGATGCAGTAGATGCAGTCTTTGCCCTACAGGATGTAGAAATTAAGTTAGGGAGAAGCAATATTAGCACTGTAAGAGGAAGTCTGTTAAGAGGCAATTAACTCTGAACATGCATTTTTAGCACAAGGAGAAATATGGAAAAATGTCTTTGAACCAGGATGGTCAAGGAAATATGTACAGGAGGTAGCTTTCAAATAGTCCTTGAAAATCACTTGTTTTTTTTTAAATTGAAAGTAATTTTTGCTAATTATAAAAAAAGTTAAACAATAGAGAGGTATTTAAAGGATGGTAGTCCTCCTCCATTCCCGTCTTGAGATGGCAGCCAGCACAGGGAGAGCACAGCCAAACAGGGAGGAAAAATTCAGAGAGATTTGGAGTGGCAAAGCTTATTCTGTTCCGTTTGCCTGGAAGGATAAGTGGCCAGGCTATGGGAAGCTTTGGATGCCAGGGAAGGAATCAGGTCTTCTTGAAGAGGCAGCAGAGAACCACAAGTTATGGCCAGGGTTGGGGCTGTAGCTCTGTGGTGGAGAAACCTGCCTGACATGCAGGACCCTGAGTTCTATCTCAGCCCCGCCCAAGCACACACACATAGTTGTGCTGAGTATCGTGACTACCACATGTGGCACCACTGCTTAGAAAGAGAATGGTAGTTTCGCGGGGCAGAACCTCGAAAGAGCTAGAATATCGAGGAGACAGACAGCCAGAGCTAGAGCTGAAGCTGGGGCAGGGGAGGGCTTGAGTTTCAGTGCAGAAAGGAAGGGCTGGATGGGAGAGGTGGGGTGGTTGCTTGCATTTGCCTGGGGTGGGGAGGTGTGGTACACTGGCTGGGAAGTTGGGGACGCCGCAGTTAACTCCTGGTGTCTGGGCTGGGTGACTTCTGCAGGTGGGACTCTGGCTTTCTTTGCCTCTCCAGTTCTGGACAGATGCCCCCTGAATATCTCAGCACTGACAGAACCCACACAGTGTACAGAGAACCTCTCTGGGGACACTGAGTTCAAGGAGACAATGTTAAGGGAAGATAATGACAACCAAGGTGATAGGACAATGCCCAGGAGGAAAAGAGGAGTTCTCAGAGCAGGAAAAGCAATCACTGAAGGGAGATGGAAGGAGCACTTGGCAAGGAGGGGAGGCTCAGGGACTCTGCATGACATCGTAAAAGTGGAACCTGAAAGATGCTGAGGACCAGGCTCTAGACAACTGATGGCAGAAGTCCTGCTGGGGCAGGGGAGAGAAGGGAAGAGCCACAGGCTTTGGAGAAAGCATGTTTAGGATATCAGTGTGGAGGACTTGCATGGAGGGGCAGTTCAGTGGGATTGGAGGAAATTCCCGTCAGGCCGGAGGCAGGCTTCTTCCTTGCAAGTTGAGAAGGCAGTGGGGGAAAATGCAGAGATGGGTTGGTGGAATCTGAAGGTTGTGTGCACAGGATGGCATGGGTGGCTTTTTGATATTCTTAGTAAAACCAAGCACAGGTTGGCTGGGGTGGGGGAGTGTCCTGAGATTTTGTGGACTGTAGGGAAACCAAAGCTCATTCTGTCTACTTCATTATGAAGCCAGAGATGTTGGGACCTTTTAATGACCTGTTAAATAATGCAGTGTTTATGCATTGATTCAAAGATATGACACACCTGGGAAATGCTTTCCTCTAACATCTGGAGCTGCTGGTTTGGAAGCGAGATAGAGGTGAGGATCAAAATATAATTTGTTTGCAGTTGGGGACAGATGTTGGGATGGGATAAATAGTTGGGGATGAGGAAATATTGGTCACTTAAGGGCGTGCACATAGAAAATTGCCCCAATTTCGCTATTTTTGTATGTCCTGTATCTTGTATTATCTTTTCCCAAGCTGGATTGGGTTTAAGGAGCAATGAAATACCCACAGTTTCCAAAACCTTGGCATTTGGGACCGAGGAGATGAGGATGGGAGTAAAGGGGACTTGGTCTCGAAACTCTGGCTGCATGTGCGGCTGAGGGAACAACCCCAGGCACTAGTTTCTTTCCGAGATTCTTTATGAGGTACTTTAATACCTCCAAATGCTCAGATTTGCCTCAGTTGATATGTTTAAGATTATAAAGCAAATCTCTAAATCTGAGTTTTCTTTTCATTGTGGGTATAACCTACATGCTTCTATGGGAAATGGACATTTAATCCAGAGATACACTTTGAAGCTTGAAAATAAAATCATAAAAAATTTTAAAATATGACCCCTTTATGAGTATTTGTGGAAATCATAAAAGGGTGATAATTCCAATTACCAGAGTCCCAGGCCAGGAAGTGAATTCACACTCTCAATCTGTTTCAGCATTTTCAGAAATTGATTTTCAAGAGAAGGAGCCAAGGCCCCAGTGGTAGAAAATAAACAGTTTAAGCATACAATTCACAAGAGTAGACTGTAAATGGCTATAAGATATTGAAAATTACATTTAATCTCCCAGACAGCTAAAAAGTGCTAATTCAAGCTGGGTGTGGTGATGTACACTTATAATCCTAGCACACAGAAGACTGAGGCAAGAGGATCACTGTGAATTCAAGGCCAGCCTAAACTACAAAGTGAGACCTTGTCTCAAAAAAGACAAAAATAAAATGAAGACTTTTGAATGCTTGCAAAAGTTTGATAAAATGGCTATGCTTTCTGGTTTTATTTGTTTGTTTCACAGTACTAGGGATAGAACCCAGGAGTTTATTCATGCTAGGCTAGCACTTTACACCTGAGATACATCCTCAGCCCTTTTCTGGCTGTGTTGAGGGGCATAAATGGCTTCTCCTCATTTCGAAAGCCCTTAGCAATGACTGTTAAAAATCTTAAAGCATTCTTCAGTTTCTGGCTAGGTAGGCAGTAGGTACTTGTCATTCCCATTTTGCTGCTGTGCAAACAGACTCATAGAGGTTAGATACCTTGTACAAGGTTACACTACACCTAGTTATGGAGAGTGCCACAGTTTGAACTTGCTGCAGGTCCAAAGTCCAGATCTTCCCATTTTCCCCTGTGACTTTACACGCAGGTCTGATAGCTCCAGCCCCGGCCCCTCCTCTCCTCTTGGGGCCACTGACCTTTGTTTACCTGTTCAGAGATCTGCAGTGTGAGCTATCAGCTGGGGTGCTACCTAGGGTGGTAGTCTGCACCCGCTCTGCAAACCTGAATCAGGGACCACGGTTGAAGTTGTCTTGCACAGAGCTGCGCTGCATAGCCCACCTCGCAGCCTTTGGCCCACTTCTCCAGGAGCTTCACCACCCAAGGAAAAAGTGGTTATCCAGTAGCATTGGACTTGTTTGGGTGTTGGAGACTGGTTTTCCTTGTTGCAATTGGTGAGAGGTGGAAGAATACATGAATGTGTCTCGGTGTGAGGAACGCCAGAGGAGTCGACTTACTCCCTCTCTCTGAAGTTTTGTTTACAACACAGTTTGTTTAACAAAAACAAGCTCCAGTAAATCAAGTGTGCAAATGTTGTTTTCTTACGGTTCATTTTACTACATATTTGCTAAATTAGTTTTTCTCTTTAAGCTTTCTGTAAATCAGAAGTCAGTCCCAGTCATCTAATGGAAGCTGTCTATTAAATCCATCCTTAACGTTTACACAGCTTTTCTGGAAATTCCCATCCTACCTTCTCTGTGTTTTGTTTGATGTTAAAATCATGAGGCCAGGTACGGTGGCACACACCTGTAATGCCAGCACTCAGGAAGCTGTGGCAGGAGGATTGCCATGAGTTTGAGGCCAGCCTGGACCACATAGTGACTTCAAAGCCAGGCTGAACTATCAGCAAGACTCTGTCTCACTGAAAAAACCTAATGCCCCACTGAAAGAAATTAAAATCATGAAATTCAGTATTTTTGCCTTTGCTTCTCAATTATCTCCTAGGTAGTCTCTTCTGGAAAATAACAGTACCAGGGAAAGATTAATGTGAGGGCTCTTGGGTGTGGTTGGTAGAGACTGGGGAGGCCCATGGATACTGAGATCTGCTGAGGCCTGGTTGTGGCAAGGCATTAAATCTTAGTGAGATGAAGATCTTAGACTTCATAAAGTGAATGGTGCTATTATTTGTAGGAGTGTCCATAGATAATGTGTGGAAAAACCAGAAAGGTGTAAAAATGAGAGATGGTAACTATGATTAAGAAATAGATGGATCTGATTGATATTGAGTAAGAAAAACAAACAAGCCAGGGATTTAGCTCAGTGGTTCCGTCACTTGCCTCGAAAGCACAAGGACCTGAGTTCGATCCTGGGTACAAAAAACAAACAAACAAAAACAAAACAAGTAGGAATGAATGGTATGAAAATCAAATCAATTTACAGGTCCAGATTTGTCAGCTGTGGTCATTTTTGATGTTTGGGATCACATTCCTCTCCATACATGTAGTCCATGAAAGAATATATCAGGGTCGCTGACATCAATTGGATTTGTGAAACACCTCCTGGAGTGAGAGTTTTATCAAGCATCCTGCCTGCTCGCCCCTCACCCTGTAACCCTCAGAGCTGGAAGGGGCCATCCAGTCCATCCTGAGCTGAACGATGCAAGCTCAGGGCATTGGTACCTGCCTGAGAGTGGTCAGGAGAAAGAAAGACCAAGGCTCACCTGTGTGTCTTGGTGCTGTACCCTGTTATTCCTGGGGTTCCAGGTGCCTGGAGACAGTGCATGGCAAAGTGATTTGTTTTACAGTGTAATATCTGGTGTGTGATAAGTGACTGGTTTTTTTTTTTTGGTAGCGGGGATGGAACTCAGGGCCTTGCGCTTGTGAGGCAAGCAGTGGAACCACTGAGATAAACCCTCAGCCCTGTTTTGTTTTGATGTGACAGGGTCTTACTGTGAGTCCAGGCTGGCCTTGAGCTCACCATGTAGCCCAAGTAGCCTTCAAACTTTGTGATCCTCCTGCCTCAGCCTTTCAGGGGCTGGTATTTGAACCAGCATGTGAGGCTTGTGATTCATTTGTTGAATGATAACACTAAAGATGGGCATTGAAAAGCAGCCCTGTAGGCACCTTGAGTGTTCCAGATGCTCTGAACCACAGAGACAACTGCCCCCCACGCTGACATCTTGTACAACTCATGTAGAATCTCAGCTTCATCTTTGAGGAAGCTGGGACTGAGAGGAAGTAGGGGCCCAGACATGCCTCATTGGAACTTGGTGGAGCCAGCATTCCAGCCTTGGCGGACAAGGGGGTCTGGCTCCATGACAGCCAAGTTAATGGGATGTGCCACTTGGAGCAAGTAGTTAGTAGAAGTAGAAGATAAATATATCCCTCTGCATTGTTCTCTTTTGTGGCACTTCCGGCCCTGGTGCGGGGGTGGGGTGGGGTGGGGTCAGAGATGGCATGTAGTCTTCATTTTAAGGTCTCAGAGCCCTGTTAAATTCAATCTTAATCTTTGTCTGTGAGCTGTAGCTCCTTCTAATCTACTGTACCCCACCCCAAGCTCCCTTTTGTTTTCCTTTGGGCCCTATCAAGGTGGCAACCATGGTTCCTTTAACATCATTTTAGGTGATATAAGGGACCTCTGTTGACTTGCCTGTTGGAATTTCCCACTCCTGGCTAGCCCCACTTTCTTGTATGAGTATGAGAATTACTGCGAATGCACATTTGACAGGATCATTATTTATTATATTACCTATTACTGTTTCCCAGGTGAGACGCATAGAGGGGAGGGGTAGCAGGGATATTAGAGTATGTGAAATGAAACACATCTACTTTATAGCACAACAACCGTTTGTGTTAGAAAATGTTTGTCAGGAGCCTGATGAGGTGGCTGCTGGAGAGGCTGAGACGAGGATTACAAGTTTGAGGTCAGCCTGGCAAGTTAGCAAGATTCTGTCTCCAAAAAATGAGGGCCAGGCATGGTATACACCTGTAATCCCAGCAGTTGGGAGACTGAGGCAGAAGTATCATTGGGAATTCTAGGCCAGCCTGGGTTACATAGTGAGTTCAAGGACAGCTTTGGCTACATAGAGAGACCCTGTCTCAAACAAAAAAGTGCTGCGTGTGGTGGCACATGCCTGTAATCCCAGCACTCAAGAGGCTGAGGCAGGAGGATTGCTGTGAGTTTGAGACCAACCTGGACTACATAGTTCTGGGTCAGTCTTAACTACATAGTGAGACCCTGCCTCAAAAAAAAAAAAAAAAAAAAAGTGCTGGAAATACAGCTTAATAGTAGAGCTTTCCCTGGGTTTCATCCCCCATTACCACACACACACACACACACAAAAGCTGGCCAAAGAAAGAGACACTGATGCTTGTCAGGGAGAGAGAGATAAAAAGAAAGAGAAGAATGGAGAGAGGCTGGAAGGGAGGGAACATGCTTTGGAGTAGGACCATCTTTTACTGGGTGTTCCCAGTCTATGCTGAGGATGGAGCCTTGGGCTGAAATGATGAGACTGTGGAGCCTTTATCAAGAGTACCTTTGACCCTGCCCTGAAGAAAGAAAGGAAGAGATGGAGGAGCAGGTGCTCCTTGATGGGCCTCCGTTTTCCTTAGGGTGTCGGGCCTTATACTCTTGTTGTTTCTGCCTCAGCCTCCAAGAGTTCAGGGATTACAGGTATTTGTTTTATTTGTTTTTCTCTCCCCTCTGCTCCCTTCCCCTTCCTTTTCCTTCCCTCTCCTCTCCTTCCCTCCTCTCCTCCTCCTCCTCCTCCTCATCTTCCTCCTCCTTGTCCTTATCTTCCTCCTTGTTTTTTTAAAATAGGGTCTTGCTGTGTAGTCCAGACTGGCCTTGAACTCTTGCTTCTCTTGCCTCGGCCTCCCAAGTGCTGAGATTACAGTTGTTCACCACCACACTCAGCTTTAGACCAACTGAGTTTTGAAACCAGGATTTGACCAAGCTAAAATGAAGTATCAGCATCATAGAATGAGTCTCTGGGATATAAAAAGGAATGAGAAATGTTATAAAAATAATTTATTGTATTGTTACAAGATTAGTATTATTACAATGTTGTTTTGTTATAGTATTACTAGGATGTTTTGCGATCAGAAATTTTAACATTTTAATAAGTGGATATTTCTTATATAGTACTTTAAAATATGCTTAAGGGGCCGGGGATTTAGCTTAGTGGTTCCATTGCTTGCTTTGTGGTTCCATTGCTTGCTTTGCAAGCGCAAGGTCCTGAGTTCGATCCCCAGTACCAAAATAATGCATGCTTAAGGAAAATAATTAAATGGAATAGTCAGGAGAGAAGCCAGAAATGCTTAAAAGTATCTGGTACATTATCTAGGTGCGTGATGTCTCAGCACTTTGTGCAGGCAGGAGGGTTGCAGTAAGTTCAAGGCATGCCTGAGCTCCATGGTGAGACCCTGTCTCAAAACACACACACACACACACACACACACACACACATTTAAGTATGTAGTGTAGGTTTGGAATTTATGTGGTTGTCAACCCCCTTTGAACAGACATACAGTTTTTATGGGCCTTTTATTTTTCATTTTATTATTTATTTATTTAGGTACTGGGAATTGAACTTGGGTCCTTGCACTTGCAAGGCAGGTAGGCTTTTTAATCAAATAACTATCAACTGGTTGATGTG